TGAACAATAAAGCTGAAAATGCACATGCTTTGTTCTGGTCGAGCTAGTTTTTATTTTTGATGGTTTATCCTTTGTGAAATGCTTCAAGAAAAAGGGCACTGCAGTGTTTCTGATAGCTTTTTTTTTTTTTTAAATTTGTGCATATCGTGACAAAATAGACAGTTTTGGAGAAACTATAGTACAAACTAACAAGTTCAGGAAAATACATTCTTTCAGCATGAACCCATTTGATAAATTTTTAGCTGTGCTAGTTACTTTATTTTATGCTGAACTTGCTGTTTCTCAGAGTTCAGATGAATACAGAACGTAAGTCTGAAGTGAAAGGAAAGGAACTATTTTTGAAACCTGGTGTTCTCTGTCCTTTGGAGTCGGAGAGGAGATGACAGTTGCAAAGACTGAGATGTTGGATGTGCTTATGTCAGATGTTCTGTAGAAGTCTGACTTGCTTGATACTCAGCACACTTACCAGCATGACTTCATTCTGTTTTTCAGACATTTGTCATCAGTTCTGGGAAACAAGTTTGACCATGGGGCAGAAGCCATCATGCCAACAATTTTTAATCTAATTCCGAATAGTGCCAAAGTCATGGCCACGTCTGGTGTTGTAGCAGTTAGATTAATCATTCGAGTAAGTATACATCAAAAGAGAAAAACATTATAATTTCCAAATACCATGGTATTTCTGAGAAAATATGAATGTCACTGCAATGAAACTTAGATTTGAGTGCCTAATCTACTTTTCTGATAGTGATGGGCTTGGCTGTCTCAGATGTCATGCAGCCCTGTGTAGATGATGGTAATTAAGCCTTGCCAAATAGTAGGAAAAACATTTGCCGAGTAATATATTTCCATCTCTCTAAGAGCTGAGCAAACTTTTTTCTTTGGTTTTTAAACCTGCCTTGCAGAACAGACTCATCCTCTTAATTATACTCCTCAAAGATAGTGTGCATTTCCTAAAACCATTAGGTCGCAGAGGTGACTTCTGCGTAGTGATTCACTGGGGAAGCTGTAGATAGCCTGATATCTCTCAAGTTGTCACCACTGACAGGTCCTCTTGCAGTGACTTCAGCTCCTTGACTCACGGGAGTTTGTTGTTATAGAAGAAAATAAAATATCTGTTAAACATATTTTAACAGATAAAATATTTGAAATAATAAAAATACCTGTCTATCTCTGTTAGCATTCCTTTATATAGCAGTTCTATTTTAAAGAATTGAACAAAAATAAATATCTACCTACTGGGCTGCGGTGGCTGAATGAGATGGCCTTTCCATTCCATGGAACTGTGGTGTAAAGATTTCTTCCTGGTTTTGTTGTTTGTTTTCTTCTAGCATACGCACATCCCTCGATTAATACCCATCATAACCAGTAACTGTACCTCCAAGTCTGTTGCAGTTAGAAGGTGAGCATTTAGCCTGAATTTATTATTTTTACCAGTAAATATGTTAACATGTGCTTTCTGATAACATTCATATATTTGTTTTTATTCATGAGAAGAGTTGATACACACACTTACTAAAGAGTGCATCTCATTCTCCACCATGAGTTGGGATCACATTCAAGGTCAGCTATCTTCTATAAGCCGCAGCACTGCAGAGAAGAAAAGGCACTATTCCGCAGAGAAATGGTTTTTTTAAACTAGTCTTTGTGCTTACATGTCATTATAATAATGTCATATTATTTTGGCTTCTTTACAGACACATTGCTGTTCCCCACTACTAGCTATTATAGTGACACTTTTTTTTTTGAGCTAGTCAGCAGGAGTAGTGTTCTGTGATAGTGTCACCTGGAAGCTGGACTGGATGGGCTGATGGCCTTCTCTGCACCTAAAATCTAAGGCTCCTTCAGTCCACTGCCTCACTGGGAGGCTCTTGCCTGGTCCATATAGATTAGCTAGTTCTCTTCTAGTTAAACAGAAGGAAGTGCTTTGTGGCTGCTGAATTTGGTGACAAAGCTTGAACAAATAACAGCATACTTGTGCCTTGGTTTCTTGAAATGAGGAAGGGAGCTTAGAGTTGAGAAGGTCTGTCTCCACATGAAGCCAAGTGTGAAGTTTCAGTGTGAAGCCTGAGCTACTAACAGGTAGAAAGTAGCATTAGCATGGATCTTCTGGGTCTGTATCCTGCTTAGCTAAAAAGGGGGCTTTCCAGATTGTTTTATGTCAAGCCTCCAGTTACTACTTCAGACTGTTACTGAATTCCAGTGTCCCAAGAAGCTTCATAACAAAAGATGGCTGCTTAGAGGCAAGTATGGCAAAGTCAGTGTGTCTCTGTTAACACAGAACTAAGCATTTCTTCTCTTTCTTCTCTCAGGCGCTGTTTTGAATTTTTAGACTTGCTGTTGCAAGAGTGGCAAACACACTCCCTAGAAAGGTAAGCTCTGAAAACGAGTAGGTTAATTCTCTCCTACTTATGTCTGTGGAGGTTAATTCTGGTGAAAGTATAATCTAAGAGGTGAGATTATGTCGGGTAGCTCTAGTAGAGGTATTCTTGCCACAAAAAAAGCACCTATGTATGTTCACGCACAGTATTCATTCCTGTAGTTCTGACAGTCAGAGTTCAGTGAGTCTGTCTCCTGTGCCAGCCCTGGAAAACCTGGCTGAGTGAATTATCTTTTGCACCCTAAAGTGAGATGATGGGGTTAAGGCAACTTACATGTCTATCAGGAGCTTCTGAGGCTTCTATAGTACTTCAAACTAACGAACAGTGAAAGTAATTGTGGGAGAAGAGTGTGGAACACAATTTTCTTAGCTCTAGACTACCCAGACAGTTTCAATAGCTAACTAAAGACTGATCTATGAAGAATGCTGTTTGCTTTTTCCTAGTCAGCAATACAGATGAAATAAAACTGACTTGTAAGAGTAAATAAATAAAGCCTCTGAAGGATCTTACATGGAAATGGGAGGATGTGACAAACTCTGTTCTTGGAGACCAAGGCAAAATCAAATTAATCATTTGTTTATAAGTGTTGTGGATCTGTCTGGACTGCTGATAATGTTCCTTCTTATTTCAGACACATATCAGTGTTAGCTGAAACAATAAAGAAGGGAATTCATGATGCAGACTCTGAAGCCAGGATAGAGGCAAGAAAGTAAGTGGAAGCTGTTACTGCTGTCTTTTCTTCCTCCTCTTCTTTGCCCCTGTTGTTTTGTGGGTCAGTGGTATTACATGTTGGAGACCGAGGTCCAGACAAGCCATGTTCTCTTGGCAGTTAATGCTGACTTTCCCTTGGCTTCAGTGGGAGTGTGTACTTCCGCAGGAGATGCCATGTGCATTGATTGCATAGGGATGAGTTACGTATGTAACACGTCTTCTAATTGTGCATGTTCCCCTTTGTTCTTGTAATATTTTATTGTCTTTTAATCTGTCTGAGCAGGTAAAATGCTTACCTGAGTTGTTCAGGAGTCTAGAGTCGAGAACTAGTAACCTCGTTTTTGATGTTTGAGTTGCTTGCAGTTAACTGAGATTTCTTCTGTTTAGTATAAAAATGGTGTTATTTCAAATATATCTTTTCTTTTTGGCCTGTGTGCAAGATTGTGGGTTATTTGCTACTCTTGAAACAGAAGTCCTTGTGCTAGTACACTGCTACATGGTCTCCTAAATTAAGGAAACATGACATTGAAATAATATATTTGTGTGTATCTGTAGAAAACTTTAATATTTGCAGATTTCTTCTGTTAAAGGTCTCTCAATTTCCATTAATGTGTTTGTACTTATGGTAGTATACTGATGTACCAGGTTCATGCTCTTCTGAAAAAACACTGTAGAACCATTTTTCCTCAGAAAGAGGATGTTGTAAAACATAAAATCAATGAACAATAGATGTTATTAATCTCAATGCTGTAAGTCAGGGTGTTTCACAGTAGGACTGTTTAAATTCTTCTGAAAGGGAATGTGTCCATCACTGGAAAATACAGTAGGCACTGAGGCTTCACAGCAGGTGACTAGTTAAGCTGAATAGACAGCAAAGAGAAGGGCATGAGGCTTCAGAGAGCATGCTTAATTCTCTCTTCCCATGTTTCTTAATTAACAGCGTGGCTGACTGTAAGGCAGAAATTTGTTTCCTTCTACTGATGTGAGAATGCATGTGACTTCTCTTAGACTCTGACTTCTGGCTGTCACACACAATTCTTGATTCATTTGAACTAATGATCTTACTCTTAAACTGCCCGTTAGTTGCCCCCTGAAAAGTGCCAAGTGTCTTCATCTCCTTTGTGATGAAAGTGAATGGTGTTTAGCCATCAGCCAGGAGATTTGGACCAGAGAGGGATTCTTCTCTCATCTTAAAATGCTCTTTTATTTTCAGTGTGGCACTGACTGGAAAACTATAGGAGCATCTCTCCTTTTCCTTGTTATTTCTTTCCAAAAAGGCAGTCAATAGCCTCAACTCAGTACAGAAGATTTGTGTCTGCAGCATTGTAGAAGAGCTGTTTGTTAAACTTAGGAAGAAAACAACACCAGCTGGTGCTTTCCTGAATTGGGCCCATGCATATGTGTTCTGCCTTTGGCATTTTTTTAAGTAGCGTTTGAGAACCCAGTCCCAAACTAGTATCAGTCTGTAGGTCTACCATCTCCCACAGCCGGAGGGATGAGAGCTTCTTCTGTAATAAAGCTTTTTTGACTGCTTGTGTTTTTGCAGTGCACTAAGTGGTGCATTCCTCTCTTCTGATTTTAATTTCTTTTGTCTTCTGTGCAGCTGTTTGAGCAATACATCTGGTTGAAGAAAGTGATAAGTCTTGAGTGTTTCATAAGGGCAGTAGATGGCTGAAATGACTGGGCTAATGAGCCCACTAACGCCAGTAGTGAAAAGGGCTCTACCTGTGCTCCACTACCTCCTAAACCATGACAAGGAAATATTCACAGTGTTGTACTTTGCTTCCAGGTGCTACTGGGGTTTCCACAGTCACTTCAGCAGAGAGGCAGAGCATCTGTACCACACCTTGGAATCTTCCTACCAGAAGGCCCTGCAGTCGCATTTGAAGAACTCTGACAGCATCGTGTCCTTGCCACAGTCGGATCGTTCCTCCTCCAGCTCCCAGGAGAGTCTCAAGTAAGTTCTTCAGTGTCACTACCTCTTGATTTAAACGACTGCAGATAGCTCCGTTGACTTGGAGGGAGCCATCACATCGCTTTGTCTCATCTGGTCAACACTTGGCCTCAACACTTGGTTACTTCAAAAAAAATTTTTTTTTTTTTTAAGCTAACATTGTGTTAAAATAAAAAGCTAGCAAAACCCATTTCAGGCTTTAAAAAAAAGTCATTATCTTGACTCCATAAATAATTTTCTAGGAAGCTTTTTGTGCTCAGCAGATGCTGTTAGTCATTCCTTCCAGGTGAGCTTAAAACAGTGCTTGGATTAAAATTCTGTGTTGAGCATTAACCCTAGAGGTATAAGTCTGCCTCTCTCCATATAAGAGAAAGAAAAGACTAAACTGAATTTGAGTTGTAACTGCAAAATCAATATGTAACTCTTCTGTTGAATGTATATATTTTAGCTTCTATTAGAGAGAGAGTCAATTTAGGCTCTGAATGTCTGCAATTTAATTGTTAGACCTGTATGAAAAATATCCATAACTTGTTGGGGTAACTTTTTAAATATGTAAAAAGTGTTTTAAAGAAAATCTTTTCTTCCTCAAACAACATGCATACTAATTTTTTTCTTTGTGCTTTTGTAAATAATTTCATGGTGATGCTGTATTTATTCTTAAACAATAACCTTTGCTAGTCTATCCTAAATAACTTACTAGTAACTCAATTGTGTACTGAGGGAATAGAGTGGCACTGATACGGGTGACTGTGAAATACTAGTTTTGTTTTAATAAATATTTATGTTAACTTCTAGCCGTCCATTGTCTGCCAAAAGAAGTCCTACTGGAAGTACTACATCTAGAGGTGAGTGAGAATGGGAGCTGAAAAATGCACTCAGGTGTTGCTGAGGAAGTGTGATGAATTAGAATGAGAATTTCAGACACTATAGTATGCAAAGAACAACTTTGATCACTGTTTACCACTCCTTAAAATGACAACTTATTATGTAAAATTTTTAATTGGTTTTGGGTTGTACACTACATTCTGAGCATCAACTGCTGATATAATGCTGCTTTTGAAAGTTAGTGAATCTGCTATTGCTTGCACCTGAAGGGAAAGCTAAAAAGCCTTGAAAATTGTAGCCAAGGTATATTTAGCTGTGCAATGGCTGTAATAGACTACTGCTGATGCTAAGACGTAAAGCTATGTAGTCTAACAGTGCCTTCAGCTTTACAGTTTTCTGTCATTTATTCTCTGCGGTTTCAGCACTTCCTGGAGGCATCGTCTGCACGCAAGTCCTACAGTGTTAAATTCCATCTCATTGCTAATCTGTTTTTACAGTTGGATGGAATATTTAGGTGCAGCTTTCCTGTCCTAACTAAATGCATACAATAATCTTAATAATAAATTTTAATACAGAATATAATAGTCAAAACTTCCTTGGTAGAAGAGCTGCCTTGTACACCTGACCAAGATGGGGTTCTGGCTGGTTCGTGTATACAGTACACCCCACTGAGACCTTTGATTCAAGGAGATACTGTTGTGTAACCTACTTGGTTGTGCACACAAATGCATGTTTGCCTGCAACTGAATAGACAAGCTTCATGCTTAAGACGGTAAGCATTGACAAGCGATGGGAACAGCAGTCCTCGTGAGAAGATGAGGTGTTGGGAAGGAAGTTAGTAGAACCTGGACTGAAGGACCTGCAGGTCTGTTTTGGCCAGCAACTCACAAGCTGGTGATGGGTACTTGAACTTTCCCATCTGAGTTCTGTTAGAAATGTCTTTATTACAGGCCTGACAGCCTTTTTGATCTCAGCATTTAGGTTAGTGTCTGATAAAGTTCTTAGAGGTGGCAGCAGGTCAGCATTGAAATATCTTTGCAGGCTGTGTGGGGAAGCCCACGTTGCCCTGATAAAGTGTTCTTAGTTGAGGTATTTCAGTGCCAGCAGTGAGCGTTAAAAATAGTACATTAAACTGCTTGTCAGGCTCTTTGAAGCACAGAGCTCAAAAAATTAATCTTCTTTATTCTGGATCTCCCACTCCCATCTGCAGCATCTACAGTAAGTACAAAATCTGTGTCAACACCAGGATCTCTGCAGCGATCCCGCAGTGACGTCGATGTGAATGCAGCAGCTAGTGCCAAGTCAAAAGTGACGTCTGCTGGAGCATCTGCCCCCTTCAGTTCTGCTGCAGCCTTGCCCCCAGGCTCATACGCATCACTAGGTAAATCTACATGTTCTGCTCTTGCAGTTAGATTTCTTTACTACCAGAAAGTGCCTCGCAATTTTATTTGAATATTAAACTCTAACTAGAAAAACAAATCTCTGAGATAGTTAATGGCTTTCCAGGATCAGTGTGTGATCTCTAGCCCTTTGGGATTAAGGGAAAAATTTGCAACAGAACTGACTTGAAGCAACTCCTTAGTTTTTGAATTGTATAATAGTCTGCGTCTCACTCTTCTTTCTGGGGAAGAGCAGATCTGATTCTGGGATGTTGTTGAGGAAAATACTACTCAATTCCTTTTGACATGTCCCCCTGTCTCTTTTTCTTCTCTTCCTTCCCTCCTTTCCTGAAACTGGTTTATCATTAATTGTTTTATGCTTTGAATAGTACATCTTAGTTTAGTTTGGTCACTTTCTGTTTTACAAGAGAAAGATGTAGAAACAAAGAGGAGGTCAGTCTTCCTGTTTCGCCACACAGGATAGAAGTATCTGTTCCTTATGCTGACTCTTTTTGGATTATAGCCACATATCATGTTATTCCCTCAAAGCATCGTATATCACTTTCAGGTGCCCCATGATTTCTTACAACAAAGTTTGCATTTGATCTTTCTCTCCTGGAGATGCCATTGAAGGAGGCATGGAGGAGGAAATGCACAGCAGTGATTGACTCCATATTTGCAGAGCTTCAACTTGGTTATGAGCAGAGCTGATCATCTGAGCTATTTCTCGTTCTGCTGGTTTCATGCTTATCTAATTCCAGGCTTTTCATTGATCAACCTTTACAAGAGGGAGCAAAATCAGAAGTTAGTGATCTTGATTTAAGCTGTGTAGATTATCTTCACTGAGTCAGATGAAAAGCTGCTTCTCCTTAGTGAAGGGAATTTGGTCTTTAGTCTGATAAAATATGCTTGGTGAATTATATAGGGTTGGTTTCTGTAGATCCCTTTTGTGGACAGATTTCTTTCATATCTGAAATATCTTACCTTGGCTTAAGCATGCTGGTTGTTTTTGATTCAGAAGTTAAATTCTTACTCTCATTTAAATTGTTCATGCTTGGTTCAAGATTTAGATACGTTACAGCGAAGATGTAATACAGAATATGAAGCTGATCTCATCATAGCGTGCTTTTGAGCTTACGGATGCTGCCATTTTTCAGTGGTGCCACACGTTGGCTTCAGTGGCAAAACTGCTTTTGAACAATCCTACGTCATGAGGAAGAACAGAAGAGGGGGGAAAGTATCTGTTGAAGCTGGCTTTGTCCTTGAAGCTGCGAGACTGAATACAGTGTTAGTCTTGCTCGTAACACAGACTGTGGGAGAAAAGCAGCAAATGCACTAAATGATGCAAACATGGCTGCTCCTGAGGGAGCCTGCTTCCTTTTGAGCTGGTAGGGACATTTATCACCTGTGCATACCTGTGAGAGAAATGGTGAGGCAAACAGAGGAAACGGAGTTTGGCAAAGGTTGGTTATTGCAGGGGGGAAAACCTGCAAGCGTGTTCTTCAGATACATCAAGCTTTGATTTGCTGCTCAAACTTTTTTCATTTCTTTAATTGTGTTAATTTTTTTTGCATATTTCTGTAGCTAATATATAGTGCCCACTTCTCTTGATGTTACTAATTTTCCCTATTAACCCTGTCCTTATTTTTTTTTTAATTTGCCTAAAGATGGTACTACCACTAAAACTGAGGGTAAGCAGTCTGTGTAACTGAGGTGTGTCCACGGTTGTACCACCCTAACTGGTCTCTGTTCTCAAAGTGTTATCTGGTTCTCATCCATGTTCACTGGTGGCCTGCATGAAGTGTTGCATGGTTGTCCTGCTCATTTTGATGCCATGGGATATTCTTCACTTTCTCTTCAAGCTCCTCCCCACTTGTAGGCACTTATTTGCTTTTATGACTTCTGATCACAAAGCTGTATGTGGGTCTCTGTATCTAAAGCACTGCTTTTGGTTGAAGGTGACCTGTGCACAGATTTAAAAAAAAAAAACCGCCCTCACTCCCCTGCCCCAAAAGACAAAAAAACCCACCAAACCAAAACAAACAAAAAAACAACACAGGGCTTGTGTTTTCTTGCTCCACGATATGTAAAGGTTTGCTGTGTTTTTCCATCCAAAGCTCAGGTCGCAACTGCCAAATGCTTTCGGGAAGAGACCGGGCAGCGAGAGAATTGAATGAGATGATCACATGGCAGAAAAATGAGGACAGTAAACAATGATCTCTAGGGAAGGAATATTTAGTCAACCTCTTTAAACCTGAGCTCTGTCTCTTTGTTGTTAACTGTCTGAGCGGGATGGCTTACATCTAAGACAGTTGGAGGACAGGCTTTTTTTCAAGAACACGGAGCCTGCTAGTTTGGGAGGGCTCCCAGTCTGGTTCTCTGGCTTGTTGTCAGAGCTTGTTCTTTATTTTTCTCAAGCAAAAAAGATCACTGGGAAATCACTTTTTCTGAGGCAGACAGGAGTTGAAAACAAGAATGCCTTCTACACATAATGAAGACACCACACCCCCCCAACAAGCCCATTTTTTCCTCCTGCAAGTCTCTTTTCAAGGGATCTATTACTGTCTTGTGGGACTGTGCTCGTATCCTTGATGGCTGCTTGTATTTGGATGTGGTGTTCTCAGAAGTGCCACTGTGCCGTTGTGACGTGTATGTTTTTTCCTTACTATTTTGATGCATTGATCTGTTATTTAGAGGGAAAGGTGTCCACATTTTTGGAACTGGCATTTAATCTTAGTGTTGAGAGATGAACTGGCTCTGCATCATGAGCAAGTGTTTGTGCTTTGTGATCTGTCAGCGATAAGGAGTATGCAGTTGACCTAAACACTTGTATTTCTAAAGCAGTGGTAAATTAGATGAAAGTTCCAGATTGTTGTAATCCTGAGGTTTTTTTATTTATTGCCTACCCTTCTTTTTCTCTTCTTCCTTTCCTCCTAGTTCTCAAACACTTCTATTTTTGGTCTTAACTTTAAAATGTTGAAAGTTTAACTTATGAAATACCCTGTGCAGATCTTGGTTCCCTCCTAGACTGTAACAATATTTGTGAAGGTTTGTTGCAACAGCTGTCCTCTGGAATACCTTTTTTTTTTTTAGTTTATTAAATGCTTTATCTTCATCATGCAAAAGGGTGGGGTTTTTTATTTGATTAGGGCTTCGGTTGTTTTTTTTTTGTTTTGTTTTGTTTTTTTCTTCCAATTCAGCTACATTAGGAGCAGATTGGATTTGGTAAAATCTGTAATAGAAACCAGCAAATTGCCTGAGGGGAAAGATTGTGAGATGAGCTTTCAGAAACTGAGTTTGCCATCTCCCTCATGTTAAATACCAGATCTTGTATCTTCCTTTTGCTGTAGGATTCTCATTTTTTGGGGGAGTGAGCATCAGGGAGGATTGTGACAATGTAGCATATTACAGCCAGAGCCTTTGAAGGATGAGTTTAATCACTGTTTGAAACTCTTCATATCCGTTTTCCTTTGTTGAGACAGTTAAGGGAAAACCAGCCTTTGTTCATGATTTGGTGTGTCCTACAGATGAGAGCTGAGAAGGGTCTTCTGCGAGCTCTCTGGTCTTGCAGAGTTTGCCAGCAACTAACTACAGGGAAAACAAAACTTTATATTCTTAACATAAATGTATAAATTAAGGGGGCAGGGGAAGAGAAACATCTCCTTGCTCTGGAAATACCTGCGTGTGCATGAGGCACTCTTTGAACATAAAGCAGAAACTGCTCCTGTTTTTTCACAGGTCCCCAATAAGTAATTTAAGAGCGAATCCCTGTGGTTTTTTTTGTGTGGTCCAGCTTGATGTTAAATCTGCAGTCTGGTTCCCATCGTGGCTTTCTGTAGCTACAGTGTAAAAGCTCTGCACCTTCCCTTCAGCTGGGAGCCAGCATTGTGTGAACTTGGCAGTTCCCATCTGCTTTGCCCTCAGTTCTCCTCAGTGTTTTGTTTTTAAGCCAGACATCTCAAAACACGAGCAAGACAGAGTGGGTTATGCCAGTGGCAAGAATACAAGTTAAGAGCCAAGCGTCAGTCCTTTGGTTTTAAGTGGTGTTGTCCCAGTTGACAAATGTTGTTGAAATGCACTTCCTCATGGAAAGGTAGCGTGAGTCTCCGTGCCACTTAAATCTGTGAAGGTCTTCTGCTGTCTCTGTGCTGTGAGACTATCTTAATGCAGTACACAGTATTGTCTCGATTACCCAGACCCTTCATGTGTGGCTGTCTCAAACTTCGTTAAAAGCTTTCTCCCTGCAAAGGTCTTAAGATCTAAACCTTTTTAGTCTTGATCAGGACTGCACAGCTAGTGCTATGTAAGTAGCAGTTGTGCCTTACGTCCATGTCTGTTACACCTGATTAAAAGGAAGCCTCAGAAAAGTTTCTGCTTCTTTTATAATAAAACAGCTTTTCACGGAATATTTTAAAAAGGTGCGTGATCCTGACTTTCAGTACAGAATAATGGTTCAGAGCATTTCTGTTATCTGGCTGCCTTTTTTCAAAGTGAGCATAAAGACAAGCCCTTCAGACAAACTTTCACAAAATGGGGAAGCATAAATGCTGATCAGTCCTGAAATTGTCAAGTTTAAAACAAAATCAGCAGTTTCCAAAATTAGTGGGACAATTTTTAATAGTTTTTATTATTAATCAGAAATAAATAAAATCTGGTTCATTATAATTTTGAGAGAACTTGGGTTCAAAAAGTGGTCTGCTCAGTTGGACATCTTGAGCTTTACCAAAGGCTTTAGGAATAACACAAATTTTAAGAAATCACCATTCCTGC